GAGTTGGGGTGTCATCCTGATAAGAAACTTGATTAGTAACACCCGAAGGCTTGCCATGTAAATCCCATTAATAATCAACAGTGTGGCCTCCACGACCACAGTGAGAGCATGAACGAGATCCTGAACGCCCTCCACGACCTCGAGTACGGCCTTCCCGACCACCGCGACCACAACGGTTACTACGGCCACCTCGGGAACTGTCCCTATGGCTACTCAGGACAATAAGAACCGAACGATAAGCAAGCACACCAGACTCTGTGTTGGATGAACCGGTAGAGAAGGTAGCACGCTGCAGGCGGGAGAAGACCTCTAGTAAAGATAGAAGAGTAGAGCCACCCAAAATCTGAGAACGAATAGACTCGTATTCAGGTTTCAAACCAACTAAAAACGAACAACATTCAAATCCTCATGTTGCTTCTGCTAAACCGCTGCATCAGTAGTAAAGGGATGATAGAGCTTCAACTCCTCACGCATTCCCCAAATATGAGAGTAATAATCCTCAAGACTCAGAGTACCCTGCTCTAGACGAAAATATTGTTTGCATACTTCATATGCACGAGTGAAATTCCCAGTGCCAGAATACATGGTGGCCAAGTGATCCCAGATCTCTTTGGCCGTGTCAAGATAAAGCAACGTAGAACTGATACTAGGCTTAATACTATTCAATAGCAATGAAATAATCCGAGCATCTTCTTGTTCCCACTTATCATACCCAGGAGTACCTTCCTTGGGTCTAGTGTCCACTAAATATTTCTTAAAGCTTTTACCTCTAAGAAACACTTGAACAGATCGTGACCACAAAACATAATTGGTCCCATTGAGTTTAACAGATGTCATGAGACCATTAAGTAGAACCGTAGGAGAAAAATTTGGGGACGTGGATGAAATAAGATCAATCTGACTATCATCATTTTTATTCTTGGGTTCCATAATTATATAGCAATGATAGAAGCAAAGAAAAAGGAGAAACCATGGATTAGGGGCCTGAACCGGACCAAATAAGGTTGCTGGAGTGATAAACCAGACTAAACAAGGCTGCTGGAATACTGAACCGGCCTGAAAAAGTGGACTGGACCACTGAATCGGGTTGGAAAAATGGACTGGATCACTGAACCAGGCTAAAAAGTGGACTGGACCACTGAACCGGGCTTGAAAAGTGGACTGGACTGCTAAACTGGTTTGGAAAACCAGGCTGGTCCATTGAACCGGACTAGCAAGACTCTAGACCTCTGAACCGGACCGGTTAGGCTCTCTGGACTCCTGAACCGTGATTCGCTCTAAGCTGAATCGCTGAACTGGCCTGACCCGTGATCCGGTCCAAGTTGAACCATGGGCTGAACCGAGTTTGGACTTAAAAACAATTTAAGTCTTGGGCTTGACCTGATCCAATCCAACCCAAGTGAGTCTGGAGCTCTTCTTCTTCTTCGTTACTTAGGGTTCCAAGAAGCCTCTCCCTGGTTTGCGACAACAACACACGCCACAAATTGACAATAGCAAGACCACCACAGCCACCACAACCACACCACTACCACGGAGAATGTTACTTGACGATGAACGGAAGCCACACCACCACCACAAGCTATCACGCCACCACATCAACTGGGACCACAACCATACTCGATGGTGAACAGAAGCCACACCACCACCACAAGCGATCACACTATCACACACCACAGCCACCACAAATGACGCAAGTGGGCGAACAGAAATCACACGATCAATAGACATCACACAATAGTGTTCATATATTTAGAATCGTTTAAGCTCTGATACCATGTTAAGTTTGGAGGATTAACATAATATATTAGGGACAAAGAGAGGTTAAAAATTTAACCTAATTCTCATATATCACTTGTATTTATAGTTAACTTATAATAATAAAAATTACATATACATCCTCTTACTATTAACAATTTACACATACTACCCTACTATTCTTAACACTTATAAACCATAGCGACATACATTGCAAGTGGTGACCACTACACAAAACCTTCAACCTTAGAAAGCAAAATGAAGTCTAATTCAACCACTCATAAGATTAAGGAACAACAACAATATTATCTTGCTAACCCCTCTGCTAATTCCCACCCCTAATCTTTCTTATCATATGTCTCTTAAGTTATACATTGGTCATCATCCTTCATACTTCTAAAAGTGGGAACATTTGAGACATGCGAAGTGGGTGGAAAATACAATTGCTTAGAGCATGTGACTCCTAATCTTACTTTCATGTTTTTGCTCAATCTTCTCAATCATCTTGAAGGAGCATATTTTTGAATTAAAATACCCATTAAAGCAGATGTTAATCAACAAAAAAGGAAAGAAATACCCAACTATAGAACACAAGTAGCTTCAATAAAAACATTTAAATGATTAAGGTTCCATCAAATTTTTGAGACAACCTAAACTAACATCTGAAAACATCAATTTATCACACACCTTCATTTCTAAATACAGATATCGTAAGTGTTCTCGTGATACAATTAGGCATACATAAGTGTTCTCGGTATGTGTGTGTGTGTGTGTGCATGTGCATGTGCATGTGTGGCGCAAATTTAAAAGAAAGAGATGTAATAGGTTAGAAAACAAAAAATTGCTAAAGAAAAATTGAAGGCTAAAGATAGGGTGAGTGTGTGTGTGTGTAAAGACAGGGTGAGTGTGCAAAAACAAAGGATGTAAAAACAAAGAACAATACCTGCCAAAAAATGAAGCGACCATGAATAATAAAACATACACAATTACATTGATATTGTTGTATACAATCTATGGCCTGTTAACAACTCAAACAAATGACAACACAAAAGAGCAAAAAAGCTCAATAGAAAATTCAAAAACAAAAAATTTGAGAATTTAACAAAATAGCAATCATGTTACAACGAAAAAAAACAAATAACCAAAATAACGAAGAAAATTACCCCTACAACTCCCAAAATAATAGAAGAAACAAAAATTCAGTTTTTTAAACAAATAATTGACCAAATCCTAAGAATTCAACTAGAGCAAAATATAGCTCCACCCAAGCTGTCAAAGAATGTCCACCTTGTGATTGGCCTCCAATCAGTTGGGCAGTTAAGTTTGCCACATCCTCTTTCATGCTACGCTGCAAATGAACAAATAAATGTAAAACCAAAAAAAAAAAAAATTAGCCACCGAAAAATTAATACAGGAAATAGATGGTAAAATGAACAAACAAATAAGAGAAAAATGAACAAATGAAGTGGTTCAACAAAAAATGTTAAGCTAATAAACTGCATTTAGTTGAACCTAATTGCAATTGAAATCAATTGCTTGATCTGAGGCTTCATAGCTCTTTGAGGAATTTTGTCGAACATGTGGTGGAGCTGGTTGGTGGTCGGTGGTCTTAGAAATAATTTAGTTTATAAGCCCCATTTGACACAAATAAAAGTTCATACATGATTAATGGAGCCTTAATGGAGTTGAAAATATGACCTTAATGCAGCCTTCGAGCTTTTTTTGCGGCTTCAATGGCCTCTCATTAGATGGACAACCTCAAATTAAAGATTAAAACAAAAGATTCAACAATCCATTATACTCACAACAAAAGAAAAGAGGCTAGTGTGTGTAAGAGTTGATACTTGGTCGCCGGTGGTTGATTGGTTATGTTGGTGTGTAGCATTGGGGTCCTCACAGATGGCTGGTTGGCGGCATCAAGATTTGAGATCAGAGAGAGAATATCCTAGAAGAGATCAAATAGAGAGAGAAAGGAGGAAGGGTTTGTGTTTGTGGTTGTGGTAAACGGTGGTGGGTGACGTTGTTGATGGTGATTGGGGATGGAGTGTATTCTTCCAACATGGAGTAGGGAGGGGGCGAGAGGTTTGTGGGTGGTGGTGTTTGGTGTCGGTGACTCGGAAGAGAGAAACAGAGGGGGAGACTGGAGTGTATTTGGAGAGAGAGTGAGTTGGGTAACAGATGAGAGAGATAGAGAGAGAAATGTGTGAGAGTGAAAAAAAAAAAGAGGAATAGATAGAGTAATGAATGACAGGTGAGAGAGGAATTTCAAATTATGAGTAGATTTTGTGGCCGTTGGATTAGTGCAATTGAGGCCGTAGGATGGGTTTGTTGAAGTCGTCCTGTTTTATATTATAGATAGAAAGATCCTACACAGGAGGTGTTACATTTTTCCTTACAAAGGGTATAAGTGCAATCATTACCATCTCAAACAATGCATATTAACATAGATGTTACCTTTCAAGAATTGGAGTCTTTTTTTTCCTACTTCTTAGCCATCTCTTTAGTGGGAGAATACCACAACTAGTGAAGAGATTTCAAAAAAGAAAAAAAAAAAAAAAAAAGATGAAGAGGTGTTATGTCAAAAGACATTTTTATTCATTTACCTATTCAGTGGGGGATATTAGTAAGGAGGAGCAACAACCACAACCTATTGGTGATAGTAGTGATTCCTTTGATACTCGTTTTGACAAGGATAACCTGCAGCATTACTCTTGGCATCAAAAGGTACAGACTATTCATGTGCCACCGAGTCAGTTACATTCCCCAATTTTGTTTCAATCATCTTCCATTGATTTCTCATGACATTAACTTCCGGCTATTACTCTGTTATCGATAATTCTGTTTACTTTTCCTTCCATGTTGCCTTTGCTATGTACTTAAATGTTTTTTTGGAACTCATGCGAGCCAGCTTCTAGCATTGATTTCTCTATTTTCTCCTTTATATATCAAAACATATTTTATTTACTAGTGTAGATTATTCAATTTTTCCTTTAAAAAATATAAATCAAAACAAAATACTATAATTGTTTCCACTAAAATATATTATAACACTCTAATATATTTGTCTTACTTACCTGGAAAATGTGTCGTAGTATGCTTTTTGCACCCCTCCTTTGATAGATACCTGCTTTTTTTCATTAACAATGATGGGGGTGTGGGTATTGAGCTTGGGTTGTCCAGGTGGCAATTTGCTACCAGGATAAAACCGTGGCTTCTTAAGGATGCCTTTTTTCCTATTCACAACGATGGGGGAGTGGGAATTAGAGCTTGGGTTGACCAGCTGGCAATTTGCCACCGAGATAAAACCTATGTTCTTAAAGATGCCTGTTTAGATTTGCATATTTTGATGTAGCATTTTGTATTCATCATTGTCTGATTGCTGCAATCCAGGGTGAGACGGCACACAATTTCAGTTTTTGTTGGTGATGAAAGTGGAATGATAAATCGAATTGCAGTAGTCTTTGCAAGGAGGGGATACAACATTGAGTCCCTTGCGGTTGGTCTGAACAAAGACAAGGCTCTGTTTACTATAGTTGTGTCTGGAACTGAAAGGGTGTTAGTACAAGTTATGGAGCAGCTTCAAAAACTTTTGAATGTGTTGAAGGTTATAATATATTCCCTTTGAAACACCATTATTGAATTTAAATCTTCATCTGAGTCACCTTTGATATGAGCTGGACAATTTTCCATCTATATTGTACATTCTTACTTATGATTAAAAGAAAAAGTAAGGATGTCCAGATGCTGTAGCCTTAAAATTTGGAAATGTGGCTGGCATGCTGAGGAGCAAAACCTGGAATGATTTCTGTCTCTCTTTGGAGACATGTCTGCAATCCTGATCTGGCTTGGCCTTTGTTCTCCTCTCCATTTTGCAATAATTTCTTTTGTTATAACTAATCTTTGAACTTCTCATTCCAACCCACTGACCAGGTTGAAGATATCTCGAAGGAGCCACAGGTAGAACGTGAATTGATGCTAATAAAAATCAATGCAGATCCGAACTACCGTGCTGAGGTAGCTATGCAATTTTCTGTGAATGTTGAATATTAAATGTTGTAATGTAACGTTGAATGCGTAACGAGTGATTTCAAGAATCATGGAAAGTTCTCTTATGAGTGTTTACAGTTACTTCTAGTCATTTTCATTGTATTCTGTTGTCTGGTGGGTGGTGACCTTATTTTGTTTAGTTGTAATCTCCAGGTCATGCGGCTGGTGGATATCTTTCGAGCAAGAATCGTGGATATCTCAGATCACTCATTGACTATAGAGGTGTTTGCTGGTGCACTTTGAACTTTGACTGGATAAGTCATAGAAAGAAAACTACTGTGTCAACTATATAAAATGATGATCAAATAAACAAATTACTCCTTACATGACCAACAGATTTACTGTTTTATTTTTGAGAATGTTTATTTCCTTCTGAATGTGGTTCTTGGTTACATAAAGTTAATAGGAGAGCTGGAGAGGATATTAGGTCATGTGCAAGGGTTGTCCTCCTTGAGATGTAGACGGCTTCCTCACGTTCTATTCAATCTGTGGGGAATCATCAGTTGATTGACCTGTTGTGATTGAGAAATTGCCTACGTCGGTAATTGGCCATGTTGTATGGCTTCTGGTATGCGTGTGGGCAACCAGTCTGACTAGGTCTTGAGATCTCTTATATGTTTAACCTATCTTCAACATGGAGACACCGGAGATATTAAAGGACCAGGTGTTTTTTGCCTCTGCCTTTAGGGAGAAATGAAGTTTCTGTATCTTAGCTTGTTTGGAAATATCAAAATCACTGATTACTAGATTGAGAAGGCATTTCAGGGTATTTATGGTGGTTGTGATGTTTTGTTTCTTTTTCTACGACTCCTGTTGGATACATGTTCAGCATTAGGCTTGCTGAATTTGGGTAATTCAGCCATAAACCACCCCAAGTTACACATTGGTGGGAGCCTTCCCTTTACCCATGTACTACCATAGTGTAGGATCTTTTCGAACAGACGAACTCAGCACCATATCATGGGCTGACTGTTCTTTCACTGACCTGCTTTTGTTGGATTTTGAGCAAAATTGGAAGGCTAATCTCCTTTAGTTTTTATTGGTCTCTTTCGAATATGAATTTTACTTTGCCTTACTTTTGTTTGAGCATATTTTGTCCTCAATATTGTGATTCTGTTGTCAGTTCTCATCTGTGAAACAATGCTTCTTTTATCCCAAGAAAAAAAGTTTCCACTACTTGCGTGATACTCTATGTTCTCTCACTATGACTAATATGTGAAAAATGTATTTGTTTTTGTATTAATAAATTCCTAATATTTGGATTGTGGATTTCTTAGTATGCATATCAAAATAAGCAAGAAAGTTAATTTGATGGGAGCTGCATAAATTAATGTTAATTCTAATATTTGTAATCACAGTTAAAAAGTCTAGCTAAAAAAAAAAAAGTGGGTAAAAAGGTAAGGATTGAAAAATGATTCTTGATCATCTGGTTGTGGTTCCGTCACAAGAAACCAGAGTTTTGGGTATTAAGAACAGTTTTCTTGGTAGGAGCGCTTAAGGTCCCATAAGTTCTTACCATTTCAAAAGCTGCGCTCTCCCAATTAGAGCCCTTAAGGTCCATGCAACCAAATACCATGCTTGGGCAACCAGACATGCACCTATTGTTTCTTTTGCTGGGCTTCCATCTCTCATTGCCTTGGTACAACTACCTGTGCGAGACCTATGCCAATCTGTTCACAATTCAGCTGGATGCAGCAGAGGCATTGTGATCTGCACACTGAAGATAGATCTTTCAATATCAAATTACTGGCATTTTGACAATGTTTGAATCTTCATTATGAAATACCGAGGGAAGTACTGAGATTGTGATCTTGTATCTTCGTAAGTAAACTTTCTTTGGTTATCTGAGCATATATAGCACTCAAGTTTTATAAAGTTTGCATCTATGTGAACCCGATAAGCAGGATGTAACAGGACCTCATGGTCAAGGGCATTTGTGGATCAGACAGTATGTCCTTTCATGTTCACATACATAATTTTACAATCCCTGAAATCCTTTTCCGTTGTTGATCCAGGTAACTGGAGATCCAGGGAAGATGGTTGCTGTTCAAAGAAATTTAAGGAAGTTTGGAATAAGAGAAATTGCAAGAACTGGAAAGGTTTGCTAGTCCTTCTTTAAATACTTTGTGAAATGATGAATTGTTTTATTTTAACATTTAGCTTCTTTCTCCCTGTTACTCATTTGGATAGTCATTTGAAACATGTGTTCTTTCTTGATACCTTGTTTTAGATTGCATTGAGAAGGGAAAAGCTGGGTGAATCTGCTCCTTTTTGGCGATTTTCAGCAGCTTCATATCCGGATCTTGAAGGAATAATGCCTGTAAATACTGTTCTTCGGGCTACAAAGAGAACACAGAATGGAGAATCTGATACATCTGTCGGGGTATCCAATCCTCTAGCCTCTGAATGCTATCTTTGTTGTAGCCAAGTATGAGTTTTTTTCCAATCATACATGAAGGTGATATTCACTACTTTGTGTTAACTAGAATGGTACTTTGTACTTCCCACAAGGAGTACATGCTCAGTTCGACCCCGTGTTAGGATGGGGAGTGGATGGGTGATATATTTGACATTGGAACATAATTTTTTAGGTCTTAGGTTCCTTTACGGCTCCCTCCTGTATCTGTGTGCTTGTTTTTCAGTCTGTCATGGTTTTTTGTCAGGCCAAAGAACAAATAAGCTTTTGTATTATTCCAGATTCCTCTTTGTACGTTGGAGATGAATGATATGGAGTTATATATCCTACATATCATACTTCATATGAGAGGTATAAAGCATAACACCTGTATCATAGTCTTAATTTTTCTCAACAAGAATAGAATTAAAAGGAACAGTATCAACACATACCATAGGTGAATTATGGATTAAAAAATCCTCTACTATTTATGAAATTTTTATTCTTTCTTTTTATAATATAGAAAGGGTCCATGGTGTTATTCAATTTTCCTTTTGGAAGGTAAGATTTGCATTTAATAAAAGTGATAGAAAATCTAATGGCTAGTAATTTTTTGTTGACACTATTTTATGCTGGATTCGTTCAAGAAGATGTTATGGGTGTACCATTTCAACTCAATAACCTTACTAAAATGGTTTATAGTGCTTTAATTCTAGAAAAAGATAAATCTTTTATTATTATCCTCCTGCTTGTAGTGGAGCAGTGATGTAGGACTGTTTAAGGAAATAAACTTAGGATTCTGGCATCTTTAATTAGTTCCATTGTGGGCTTTGGTTTTGAATTACTCCTAGATACTGAGTTTAGATATGCAGAAAAAAGCTATAGGTTCTATGGAAAAATGGACGACTATTGGCTACGTTCAAGAGATGATGTCGAAGGAAATTGAAGAGACACCGTTATAGGAAATCACTAGACTCACCATTTAGAGGAATCTGTTGTTGGTTTAAGGGTTTAAGAGTAGGGACATGGATCATGGTTGATTAGGAAAAGGAATTAATTATGGTATTGAGAACAAAGTTGTCAAAATGTGTATCAGAATGCGTATCATTTTTAAAAATAATGTATCATTTTTCACAACGTATCGTGTATCGTAAGATATACTCGATTTGAATATATATATACATGCGCACACATATAGCAAAAAATATGTAAATATATGGTGTCCAAGTGATACAAATATTAGTTCAACTCACTTATCAATTGTGTGATTCGTGTTTTCGATGGAGATCGAAGGGAATATAATTGTGTCTTCACGCCAGAGATCGAAATGTAGCTAAAGTTTTGTCTGTTAGAAGTAGAAGAAGAAGAATAATATGATCTAGAGCTTAGTTTTTTTTTTTTTTTTTGATAAGAAACAATGATCTCATTAAAAATCAAAATAAAAGGAAGTACATTTAGTAGTCAAGGGTGGACAAGCTGTCCAAACCAATGACAAGTCCAAAAAGAAAATACATCATGATAAAACTACGTCTTACATGAAGCTTTCCAGCTTGATGCAATGCAAAAAAGAGGAATGTTTTCAAACTTTTTTGACACCGAGGTGCAAAAAGAGGCCATGAAAACGAATCTATCCCATTAACATTCAATCTCCTTGCTTTTGTTATAAAAATCTTCGTATTCCTAAATAGTAGCAAAATAAGCGAAACGCCAAAGAACCTTCCACCTTTTATGGCCACCCCCCACATAGCCCATCCATGCCAATCATCAATAAAATCGTTGTTGGTGCTGCCCAAGAAAGAGCTTAGTTTGATTGAGATCAAATCAAAAAAGAAAACAAATAATGTATAGGAAACAAAGTTGTATGACTGTTTAGGGTAAAAATAATCTTTTGAACTGACCTCATTTCACTGTGTAGACTAAAAAATTAAAATGTAAAAGATCTTATGAGTATCGTTTTGCCATTCTATTGAAATGTATCATATGTAACGAGTATCATAAGATACAGTGAAGAAAACGATATGACTCGTAGATACGTTTCATGTATCGTATCGTGTGTGTGTGTGTATACATATATCTCTCGAATAAGATAGCTAGTATTTTTTTTCCAGCCTATTTCTGTCCTATCATCCATTTATATAACAAGTTAAATTATTTAATTTTTGATTAATCTGTGGCTCAATACAATGTTTATTACCGGCATTGTTAATGTATACAAATTGATATTTTTTTGAAGTCATGCATTTTGAGAAAAGTTATCAATTTTTTTTAAAAGTAATGCGTTGAAATTAATTTCAAGTCATGTAATTAAAGAAAGAGAAAGAAAAAAAAATTGCCATTTGATCTAGTGGGATTGATTTTTTTTGACACTCTAATTTATGTTGCATCGTGCCTTCAAGTATCGGTTATGGCTCGTATATATATTTATATATATAATTCGTTGGATAGAAGTAGTTGGAAACTGTGCCATCTTAATCTGTGGTCTTAGCTCTTATTTTGTTTAAGTTTCGGTGAATTCTAATATTCTTAGGTGCTGCTTGTTTGGTTGAAGATGGGAAGAGTGGAAATTGATGAGAAGTTAACTGTTCAGAGAGTCTATACTTTGTTGTCACTGTGGATTAAACATGCGACTTATTTTTGTTTGTTTATGAAGGGAGATGTTTATCCAGTAGAGACAATTGTTGACTTCTCAGTCAGTCAAGTTCTTGATGCTCACTGGGGTGTCCTCAACGATGAAGACGTAAGTTACTATGGTGATTATGATTTTATTACATTTACATGTTTCTGGTACCTTAGTTGGTGGAGATGTGTAGGTCAGAGATGAAATGAACATTTTGAAAGCGTGGTCCTCCTTCCTAAAATATTCATTCAGGAGTTAATATGGTTACGTCAAATTCAGCACCTAAAAGATCATCTGCATTCATTATTTATATTCCTAAATCACCTTACATGAGGAAGTAAACAAGTTCCTTTGCGAGATTCAAGAATAGTGGACAAAAACTGGTTGGCCAAGTTTGTTTTTCACTCTTTCTGACCAACCAAATTTTAGATCATTTCATTTGTGTAATTTTTGCGTTAAATGCTACATACTTTTGTGATGTTTAACTTTTTATATGCATCTTCTATTGCTCAAACACCTGTGGTTCAAAATTTATTGGCCTGATTCATATGCTTCTAAGACAGCACCTAAAAAGAGCGGGGTTATCCATCTGATAGTGCAACTACACCAAAGACTCGGATCATTTTAGAGGGGAGATGGAAGTGTGCAGGCTATGCCATCCTTCACACATTGTTGAAAGATGGGATATCCAATAGAGTGCGATCATCTTAAGTCCAGAAATAGTTGTATGTGGAATAAGAAAGGAAACAAGCTCACTGTATCCACATTCCCAAACAATTCACAAGGAGGTCAGGTTATATAAATCACATGGTTGAAATCCTATGAACCATCTCTTGCTAAAGATTTCATCTTTCAATCAGCAAATGAATATAAAACTATCCCAGAAAGAAGTGGTCTGTTTACTTTCTACAAGTTTATTTTGATGGGAACTTGTCATGTAACAGCTTAGCAAGCAGAAAACCCAATAAAATTTAACCGTTGAGGTGTTGAGGCCTTTCTCTTTTCTTTGTTTTCTGGACAAGATCATGTTTGTACACATTTTGTTTTTTTGATCGATCTATTATGTTCTTTATGCAATGTTCTGGTCAATGGATCTATTTTGTTTGTTGTGTAGTCATTTCTTGACATTTTTGTGTTTTGAAAAGAGAAGCAGGGGAAGCAACAAGAAAGTTTTTGATTGTTTTGCTAGTGAGGATGAGTTCATACCTTTTAGAACACTCGATTGATCATTCAGGACATCCAGAGTCACCTGGTTGTACACATATCCTCTTATAAGTAGGAAAAACCCTTTGGGAATTGGGAACCTCTGCCCCTTGGATGAAAGAGTGTACAAACAAGGAATTATGATGTTATGGATTGAGCCTGGAATATAGAGATGGTCTTTTCTTATAATTCTGTGCAAATGCCCTCGAATGGCTCAAGCAATTCTAGTTTCTTCCAAATTTCAAAATTTCTGGACCTATGATGGAGTTGAAGACTGTTATTTTACTTAATCTCCTCTTTGATTATCAAAATGCTGTTGTAATGCAAATATAGGGTGAACTTGGTAGCAGATGTTTCAAGATTCTGTCCAACATGAAAAGTTTTGAGTGTCTTCTTCAGATGCTTTACATTGAAACATCAAAACACCGTCATATAGTGTCTGATGTCTTTAATACTGGAACTTCGTTATCTGCATTTAAATTATTTTGCACTTGAGATATGTTAATTCCGAATAGCATATAATCTGTCAATTCTCTATTTAAATATGGAACTTAGACACGTGGGCTTGAATTCTGTGTGTAATGACATCATGTTTGAAAAGTGGTGCCTATATTTAAGAAAAATCGACTTTATCTGCAAAAGTTTCTTCTAGATGCAGTACATATTAATGCTTGTCTTGATCCTTCCAGACAAGTGGGCTGCGCTCACACACTTTATCAATGCTTGTTAATGACTCTCCTGGAGTTCTCAATAGAGTAACAGGGGTTTTCGCTCGAAGAGGATATAATATTCAAGTATGCTTGTTCAATTGTTGATGTTGTTTAGTTTTCCTTTGATATAGTTTGTGTTTTTTTTCCTGCAATGTTCTTATGCTCTTCATTGTTACATATCCTGTTTTAGAGTTTGGCTGTTGGCCATGCTGAAGTTGAGGGACTTTCTCGCATTACAACAGTTGTACCTGGTACTGATGAATCCATTAGCAAGTTGGTGCAGCAACTTTATAAGTTAGTAGATCTTCATGAGGTGAGAATCTTCCATCATTAGGAAAAAATGCTATTTTTCATGGTTGGTGGGAAGATGGGAGATGATGCTATATTTATTGTCGTTGTGATGTATACTCAATTGTTTTGAATTCTGGGAAAGATGTTGAGTTCTCAAAGATATTGTTCCTGCCCAAATTGTATTAAATGGTGTGATAGCGGAAGTGGTTAATTGGGTGGAAGGGATGACAATATCTGTTAGACATCATAGTGAACTTGTAGTGTGGGCCAATTTAAATTTAATTGAATCTGCTAGTTAGATGGCCCAGGATGGTCAAGTAATGTTCAAGTATCCTTATTTGGCGTATTTTCTTGGATACCACTTGCATTGAAGGTTTGTACCATATACATCTGGATTGGTCATTCAAGTACTCAGAGAAAAACCTTTTGATCCATGTGATTAGCATTCTGGTTTCTAACTGAATCCTACCTATCAAATGGTGACTTTCAGGTCAGAGATTTTACCCACTTGCCATTTGCTGAGCGAGAATTGATGTTGATTAAGATTGCTGTGAATGCTGCTGCCCGGCGCAATGTTCTTGACATTGCCAGCATTTTCAGAGCCAAAGCTGTCGATGTGTCTGACCATACAATAACCCTTGAGGTGAATATGTTTCTCGATAGTAGAGAATTAAGCATGTTCTCTGCACATGGTGTGAAAATATATCGAAACGGGGGAAGATGGGGAATTTTTTGTTCCTTCATGTGTGTTTCTTTTTCTTCCTTTTCTTTTTTTTTTTTTTTTTTTTGGGGGGGGGGCTGATTTTTTATCACTATTGATCCTATTTTCCACGGATTTTAGAGCCACATGAATAATACTGAACCACTTGAACCCCTCCAGATAGCTCGGATAAAGATTTCTGGGGATTCTATCTGAGGATCCCAATAAGAGTCCTAGCCCAAAGCTTATGGTTTACAGGTGATTGCGTGTATACGGAGTTTGCACGGTAGCCATGATTCCAAAAGCCCCGTGGTTCAGACTGTTCTCTGCTGAAAAAAAAACTCACTTATTGACCTCTTCTATTTCGTATATTATCAATACAATGGGTGCTATTTATCTGACTCCATTGCTATTTCATTGTTATCTTCCAGAATCACGATTAATCATCACTGCTATATGAAGTTGCTTTGTGGTTTCCTATGGAAAACAAATTAATTTGATTGATTGATTCTTTCTTTCCGCTAATTAATTTGATTGTGTTTTATGTTGCATATAAACTCATAATTGTGTTTTATGTTGCATATAAACTCATAAGTTGGTATAGACATTGCTGTAACGAGCAGAATTTTGTAAGAGTGAGGTCATCCATTGAATTGTATAGTGCCATTAGGTTATAGGGGAGAATGAAAGTAAGATGGAATGTTCTTACTAGTATCCAGTAGAAATCTGAGAAAATTGGCATCTATTACTCCTAAGATGTCAGATGATAAGATGCTACATTATGGGAATGACGTTCTTGCAATTGAACGAGATTTTTTTTTTCCTTTGCTAATTTTCATCCAATCACTAGAAATAAATCAAAATTGATTTTAAATCTTCTTAACTAAAGTTTTATTTATTCCCGACTCTAAGCTGGGATGATGCTATAGAAAATAGGTGACTACTAAGAGTTGCATTGGCTTTCTCTTACTGTATGCTTGGGAAAATTCAGTCATGATTAGTCGGAAAGGTTCTTTGAAGTGAAATAGTTGGAGGAGCGTGATGGCACACCTAAATGGAAATCAGGGCAGTAAAGGTGGACGATTCAATTTGATAGGATATAATATTGCTTTATGATATAGTCGTAGCGGATTATAGTGCAGCAGAGCCTTGGTAATTGAGAGGATTAAAAAAGTTTTATGGTGCCACAAACATTCTATTACATGTGGCTATTTTATAAAGGTATTTGCACACTGCATATACTACTATATGGGATATGAATCAGAGAGTTCATATTAGTATTACACGGAGTGGCAAATAGTTGTTTTTTGGGGGGCGTGCTGCTGCTTTGTAATTCATTTAGCATGAACCTACACAGATCTTCTGTTACGTTTGTTTTTTATTTCTGTGGTGTTCTTTTTCCTCTTTGAATAATGATACCAATAATTTTTCCATTGGTACTTGTTCCAGCTTACAGGGGATTTGGACAAGATGGTGGCTCTGCAGAGATTGTTGGAGCCCTATGGCATTTGTGAGGTATGTTTCTAATCCATGGTCTTGATTCCAGCTAAAGTTTTAGAATGCGAATGTGATAGGGCCCATGGCAGTCTTACATGTGTGTTTATGTGAATCGTGTTGGCTCCGTTTATGTGTGCATCAAGTTACATTGTAGACCTATATGATGGGCATCCCAAGTATTTTTTTCCGAAAGTAAATAAAATAATATTTATTATTGCATTTGTACTATTTTTTTTTTGGGTGGAGACAATCTCTCTTAACACGGAGTGAGACTGCGTAAATCTCACCATCCTCTGGCCTGCAATAGCAGGAGCGTGTGCACTAGGCCGTCTTTTTTGACTCTGTACTTTGTGATGTTTGAGAACATACTTGGGAGAATCCTAGTGATGATGTCTCTTGTCTTTCCCCACCCCGTTTACGTATCTTTGACCCCAAAGTGCATAATTATGTTCTCAAGTGTGGCTTCCTCATTGTAGGTGGCACGAACAGGGCGTGTTGCTTTGGTACGTGAATCAGGGGTTGATTCCAGATACCTTCGGGGATATTCTTATCCGTTGTAGGTTTTGATTTTGTGAAGCTTCAGGCGATAATGGATGCTTTTTGATCTTTTAATGGTTTGCTTGGGCAAATAAGGTCGAAGATAGTATGGAATAATTTTAAGGGTTTTATAAAATGTCCCCTTCAATTTTGGGTCTTGTTTCAATCAACTCCCTATCATTTCAATTTCAACGATTTGCTCCCTTCAACTTTATTTGTGTAAATGGACTGACGGAAGTGACTGAGATGGTAAAATTCCAAAAAGTCCTTAATCATGGTAAATAATTGGCGCCAAAAAAAGTAACCATAGTTGGCTGATTTGCTCAGCTATAAATGGAGTTTAACTCGATGTGGATCCTTCTTGCCCTAATTTCTCATAGAATCTGCATACACTCAACGCCCCTCAGATAAATAGTACAAGGGGCCTCACTTGACCAAAGTATCTGCATGCACCTATTTTCTTGGTGTCGGTTTGTTTGTCCTATGGGTCGTCGGTGGAAATTAGAGACATTTTCAACACGTCATTGGTCCTGATTTATATATAATTGAATCATTCCTGGAATGAGGATGAAATTGGAAATAAATACTACCTTTCAATTAAAAAAAGGGATAATTGTTTTTTAGCTCCTTGTGGTGTTGGATAGAAGTATCTTACGTATTTGACATTTAAAATTATGCACATTATTTTCTTGTGGCCATGTACCAAATTGAAATAATTGACACCATTAATGGAATAATAAAATTATCATAATACCCAAATTATATTTAACAGATTTATTCTTGACAATATTAGTCAAATAGATGACCAAAAAAGAAAAAAAAATTAGTCAAATAGACTGAGAGAAATTGAGAAAGTGAGAGAAAAAGAGACAGAGGCATGAAGATCACAGATATGAGACCACCATTGTAGACCGCCCTTCTTCGCAAAGAGATTCCATTGATTCTTATTGTTTCCCCGGTATGCGAGAATGGATTAGTAGGTGTTGGTGTCTACTTTGAAGAACTTGTTTGTTATTGGTTGTTCAAGCTTTGGTAAAGGTAAACACAAGTTCTAGTAAGCCTTCGAATTATTCTGCTTGTTAATTTTAATTTTTACAAATATGGGCTATGAAATACATGAATTGCAAAATTTTCTAGTATATTACAGATCTCCATCGCATATCTGAGATATTGAATGGTTTAAAATACATGGGTATTGCATAAAATTAACCCTTTTTAATAAGCATCATTTTCAAATCAATTTTTGTCTTTTTATGAGGCAAGACTTTTTTGTTGTTTTGTAGTTACATGTGGGTC